ATATTATTGGTTTGCCATAGTTGGTGTGCTATAAACTTCGGAAGCTATAACTGTGATTGTTATAACGCTTATCAATCGGAAAACTTTAGATATTTTGACCAGAAATATTTATAACTTTCGAACATTGCAAACCAATGGGATTCATATTAGACATTAATACTTTTACGAAAATATTACCTAACGTCATCGGTGGAAACTCAATCTCTAATAGGCGTATGATCAGTGAAAACTACAGGGCTAGCTAGCTCCCTGTTACGTGAATTGGGCCTACGTCAACACGAAATTAACTCGTTCATCGCGAACCCTCTATAAGTTATTAAGGAAGTTCCAGACTAGAAAGAATACTTTATATTGTTTGTAAGATAGTGAAAATTGTTTATAGATCATTGTTTGTAATAATTGTTATTGTAAATTGTACTGCTGTGTGTATATTAAAACGTATTTGTGTTAAAAAAAATTGTGTGTATCAATCATGTTGGCAAATATCATAAACTGATTATATATCGGCTTTAATTTAACTACTAAATCCACAGTACAATTTAGCTACTAAATTTAAATTTATCAGTTAACTCTATTTCAGGCTATTTGAAATTCTAATACCTAACATCATACATTAACATAACTACAATTATATAAAAAAAAACTGAGTTTGATTGTTTTTAATTCAGAGACAGGAAATTTATGTCTTGGGTCTAGTTCCTTCAGTTTACGAGTTTCAGTATATTGAAGCGATCCAATACCACTAATTGATTCACTGCTTCCATTTGCATTGGAGGAAAAGTTACTCCACGCTAAAGTATAAATACTGTCTGGTGATACATCATAAGTACAGTATTACTTATATTAGGAATGGACCAGATGTGCGATATGTGCAACACAAATTAAAATCTCAAACACACTGCAAATGGTGTGTAAACAAAACTTTATAAGCACTTTGCACACACTGTTGAGTAGTAAACAAACCAACTGCATTGTAATAAGCCACCAAAGCACTTGAGAAAGTCGGTAGAGTAAAAACAAAAATTTCATAAAACCATAAGTTTGTCAGTCTGGCTATCTGACTGACTGGCGGACTGACGTTGTTGGAAAGGCACAGCTCTCTCCTGCCTTCATCTTATGCAAATCTAAATGTACATGATTCAATTACGCTACCTTTGCTAAAAGCATTTTCTTAATTTTACTTATACCCTTGGTAATAACGAGTAATAATAATAACCAATATATGAGTTGCCAAGTAACAACCCCGCTCTCCTATCACTTGCGGGTGTACGATTGCTTATGCGCACGCGCTACATGATCAGCCTGTAGTTGTATCTGCTAGATAGAAAAACGTGGACAACGTAGATTCTCTAGATCTAGATTCTAACTAAATTCTGATGTTGATAACATTGAAAACACTTTGTTCCAGCAAAGAGAGCATTACTGTAAGAATAGAGATAAAGATAGAAACAGTAATGCTGAATATGCAAACCATGCCTTAGCCATTAATCCAGCCAAAGAAAAGGCTGCCACCCTGGCTAAATGGAAGAACAACTGTAACAAAGATATCAACAAAAGTCAGAAAATGTCTAGAGATGGTTTAAGAAAATCTACGAGAAGGATAGGCCTAGAGCCCAGTCACTTTTGAGACTTAGTACAAAAAACAAACAAACTATGAAACAAGTGTTACAGATTTCTATATAAAAATTAGAAAGTAGGAATGGGAGCACCAAAAATATAGAAACAAGGTAGGAATGGGTGGGATAACATTACAAAATTATTGTAATGTGCGTGGCAGTATGTTAAAGACAGCGTGACACTGAAGAGGACACATGAATGTGTCAAAACTATCAATACTTCTGACTAGTTTGTTCCTTTTATTGTGTTTTCACTAACTTATAGATACGAAATTGTGTTCTTATATTACTTAAACATAATTCTCTTCATGATTGTCATTTTGAGTTATTGCAAGCGTGTGTTCTATTAAACAACATGCTAGATGACTTTGGAAGTTGAACAGTTTACTTTTCTGATTAACGGCATTCTTCAATTACTGTATGATATCGTTTGATTGTAATGTTTAAGGGAAAGATTTCACATTAAAGTAAATTTTGATTTCAATACTTATTTAATAGTTAACAGCTTATTTTTGTATGTTGTAATTCAACAATATACTCAATGAAAATATATATTTGTGAGAATAACTAGATAGATTTTTTTCAAGAACAAAATGTAAATTTAGACAGATTAATTGTATGTGCTTCCATCCACCTATATATAAAGACGAAATGTGTGTTTGTTTGCACCCTAATTCCTTCGAGCCTATTGAGTAAATCTAAACCAAAATTTATATGTAAACACTATTAACTATGGGGAATTTCCTAAGGGGAACAAAATTGAACTTAACCCCATTTTTATTTTGTAAAGCCTATTGGTTAATTAGCCCCAGCCAATTGAGTCAATCTCAAACAATCTTGGCAGGTTGATGCTTTAGACAATGTTGAATATTCTAAAGGGATTCAAGGCCAGAGTATGAAAGTTACTGGACTGCTTCTCAAACAACTATGCCTTTTTCATGGTCAATGAGATGTAGGTGTTCAAGGGTGGGATCACCTCAAAATCTAAATTTATTTGTAGATGGAAAGCAAACTGCAAATGTTGATTATGAAGAAGTTTTGTTCAAGTTATTACTCTGAAATATGTGATTGCTGTTTAAATTAAGTTTAAATATTCCCCGTCTGTTGACGCGTATTTCAGCTTATGCTTCATATAGAACAGTGTACAGGGAGTAAGATTATATAGGACAGCAAAGTGTATTAATACGTTAGAAATGTCTGGTTCACATACATATTTCTTTCAGTGGTCAGGAGCATATTATGGTTTTATGTACATGTATACATATGTTTTGCGACTCAGACGTGGCACTAAACTGGTATTGCTTGGTTTTGTAATTTTAAATAATATAACATTATTATTATTGTGTTTATGCTATGTTTGGGTACACCTAAAATCGTATCTTTTCAACATTGATTCCTTAAGTATGTGTTCCTTCCAGTTAAGCCAGTTTCATGGAATGAGGTGTTATATTGAATGATGTTGATATATTGGATTCAGGAATGGAAGAGGTGTGTATGCGTCCAGTTAAGAGTGAACATTATTGTTGTATAATGACTGCCCAACTGCATGGGGCTAAGTAAGTTTATCCTGGAAGTCACTCTTCATCTAATGTGAGATTATTGTGGTGCAAAATGATGGATAGGACCAGGAAGTTTTGGATTTGATTGAATGCTATTCTCGAACTCCTACTGTAACTAAAAGTTTGAGTGTTTTGTTTGTTAGAAGGAGATAGTCTTCAGTCACAGGAACAAAATGTTGGATTTAGAGGTGTCCATAGTGTAAACTTTCAGCTAGCCAGTTGGCTGATTCTCGTATTGCTTACACCTTCACTTTGAAGTACACTTGAATAAGTTATTTGAACTTGTATGTTTTAATTAGCATCATCTATGATTCGTGGTTAATTGGAATATACTTGATCTAGCTGGTTATGAACATTGTTCTTTCTATTATAATATACTGTATTTTCAAATGCCTGCAAACATTATTGTATATTTTTCACTATACGAGATCAACCACTTATTCTTATCAAACAATTAATAACGTGAAGGAATCTAATGTTGTACATGAATTTTGTCTCATTAATAGCACAAATCTGACTGATGTTATCTTGTATCAGAATTTTAATGACTGTAGCTTTTTGGCTTTATTACCAAATTGGAAAACATACGTAAGCAAACTTGTAGTTTATCTATGTATGATTACTATTTGTATTTTTCTCGATTTTTCTAGATGTTGTGGTTGCACAATATTAATTAATATAAGTAACATAGCTTTTTGAATTTATCAGAAACTACTTCTAACATGATCCTCAGCCCCTTGCTTGGAGTACTCATTGGAACTGTGGGATCGTTAGTCCTTGTCACCATCATCGTCATTGTAATCATTCGAATAAGAAGCTATGAGGATGACAAAGGTAATTGTTTGTTACTAAAAGTACAAATATAGGTTGGACTTGGTAAGTTTATAAATTCATTTTATACGATTTGTTGAAATAAGTTTTCCTTACAGTATTGACTAACAGGCAAGTAAAACTACTAAATCATTTTCTGTGTAATCTTTGTCCATCCTCTGTCGGCTGGTCAATATGTCGTTTCAATAACCTTGGCATTAGATCTGTGAAGCGAGAAACGTAGACTTAAAAATGTGTTGTAAGTGAGAGAGGATTAGGAGAAAAAAAAGAGGTAGAATCAAACTGTGAGATGAAATTCTTCTTCTAAGAGAATAAATCATTGGATATAATGATAAAAATATTAAACATTGTGAGCTTCACTGCTTTCAGTATTCTTAGAATACATATTTTTATTCTGGAAAAATCAATAACAAAAAACTACAGACAGAGCAGTTGCAGATTTTATCTTAAATGTATGTAGTGGAAACAATCAACATTGAGAGGGCATCTTAGTTGTTGTTATCACGAGTATTATTATTTTGACTAGGTATTTTAAGGAATTGAGAGTCGTTAGGTAGGCCTACTGGGGATAAAACTGTGTGTAACAATAAATTAGTACAAACTGATTTGTCTATTATTTATTAAGTAATTGCACACTATGCACTTGTAAATAACCCGAAAGCTGTAATATATTCCATTTTTATGATTCGTTTAAAATACTATACAAATAGTAACCCTAAAACAATTTACAGAAAAGTGAAAACTGTTTTAAAATTCTGAGGGAACTGTATTAAAAGCTAAAATACAGAGAAGATAAAGAAAAGTTAACTATTGTTCTCTTTGCTGTATCTATCTCATCGATTCCAAACGTGTTGGTGTGATTGCTGGAAACAAAACTAAAGCAGACAAACATATCTTCAGCAACCACACGCCACGTTCATTAACTGCTACTACTGATATAAGTACCGTAATATAAATACTACTGATATAATATATAAGTTTAATTAAACGTAATTGTTTTGGACAATAAAAGTAAAAAGTACAGAAATATAATTTCCAAAACTAGTTTCTCTTTTCTCAGTGAAATATATGTCTACATATCTGATTTGTCCCCCATTCCTAGTCATTAAAGAACTTTCATATATGTCTACATATCTGATTTGTCCCCCATTCCTAGTCATTAAAGAACTTTCATATATGTCTACATATCTGATTTGACCTCCATTCCTAGTCATTAAAGAACTTTCGTGTTTTATGTACATGACAAACAAGAGTAAATTAACTAAGCACCGTTAAGAGATACAGAACAGTAATCATCCGACAGTTGGGCTTGCTCCCTCATGTTGAATTTTAACTAACACTACATACTGAGTACATTAACAAGTTTAGCCATTAGGCATGAAATAATCACCGGAAAAGTCCAGAAATGTCTGGTCACTTTTGTAGGCTCAGATACAGAACTCTTACGCGTTTAAACGATGGTCAGTTTGTTTCTCTACTCTGTATACTGAGAGAGTACGTTATATTAAAGTGATTTTGAATATTCGAATCGGCAAGTTACCGAAAACCACAGCCGATATAAAGTCTCGATGGAACAGCATGTATGAGAAATACATTTAGAGTTTTGTAAGTAATGTGATGTTACCGAAAATTGATCGTTTGGAGGAAAGTATTCATAAACTCATAGCATAAAGATATGATAATCTCTGGATCTATAATTTACAAGATGGGAATACCCCTTGTACTTATTGACATCGGAAAACAAAGGAATGTGTATCAACTTTGAGATCCAAAACGATCCAAATTGAAATTTGCAAAAAGTAGTACTCTATTCATGGTAAACAAAGTGCAGTGTCTCGTAACCTTTACCCCAAATTGTTGTGAATCTGCGGCTTTGTTGGTTGAAGAACAACAAATAATGTATATGAACCATCTGTACAATGTAAAGAAAAATACTGTCAATATTGTGATTAGTGACACTAATGAAATGGTGATTCCACCGAATCCTTCTTTATAGTTGTTGACAACTGAATGTTGTGTTTGTTTGTTTTTAGCACAAAGCTGTACAATGGGCTAATTGTGTTGTGTCCACCAAATGGGTCGAGCCCTGTATTTTAGTGCTATAAGCTCTCAAGCATACTACTGAACCAACGAGACTCTGAGTGTTGTGACAGGCAAAGCATAAAGTTATTCACTGTGATAGAATATGTGGACTACAACAGCAGTGAATGGTATGTTAACAAGTCCGTATGTTGTGACAGGCAAAGCATAAAGTTATTCACTGTGATAGAATATGTGGACTACTAACAGCAGTGAATGGTATGTTAACAAGTCCGTATGTTATGACAGGCAAAGCATAAAGTTATTCACTGTAGATAGAATATGTGGACACTAACAGTCAGTGAATGGTATGTTAACAAGTCCGTATGTTGTAGAC